ACAAACAATAAAAATTAAAATAAAGTTAAAAGTTTTTTCTGAAATAAAATTAATTTTCAATATTATTGTATAACACTTTTTAAAATAAAATATTCATAATAATAAAAATATAAAATATAAAAAGGTTTTCCTTATCTTAAAACGTTTTTCTATGTTGTATTTATTATAAATGTAATTAATCTTGTGATGTAATTAATTGTTATTAGCCTTGTGATGTTTGCTACATGACAACATAAAGTTCATGGATGTTACTATGCATGCCATATACTTCGTGTAGTTGAGTGTTCATTTTTTTACTTTGCATGGTCAGCCATGTGATGGCAGATACTTCAGGTAGCTGACATATACTTAAATGACATATCAAATGCTTGTTACTTTATTATAGCTACATTCTTCATTCTTTAAGTTATGAATATAAAGCAAATTAACCTTTATATAAAAATGTATAAGGGTTTATAAAGTGTGATAAAATATTTATGAATCATTATTAAGTACTTAAAAAGATTTACTAAATCAGTTATAATAGTTATTAGATTCTGATCCAGGCTTTTAAAGCGTGGAAATATCATTCACAAAAATTAAGTTTACATATTAATATGTTCAAACATTTTTTCATTTTAGCGTATTTGGCAGGTATATAATTATATCATTTTATATTTATATTAAGTATGAAAATGTACAAAAATTACTTATTTTGTTTATTAATTCAATCCGCTATGTTATGAATTTTTAGTAAAATCTATGTAATTTCTTTGATTAATTGTATGATATATAATTTTGATATATTTCTGATTATAAAACTTATTTGATGTCATTTTATTGACTCTAACATTTTATTATATAAAATATTAGTTTAATTCCAAATTTTTTTCTAAGTTTAAAAGAATGTAATTCTGTATTTATGAAAATATAAATAAAATAATATATTAATTTAATTTATTTCATATTCAATGAAATTATTTTTGGTATCCAAGCCTTCAAAATTAGTTTAACTTATTTTGAAATATTACTACAAATTATTTGCGTGTTTTAATCAATTTTTGATTTATAAAATAATTATAAATATGAATAAAAAGTTATTAAAAGATGAAGTCTAATATGTTATATTCGTTGGAGACAAATTTAACTGTTGTGTTGAAACATATTTAGTAGTATAATGTTGTTTCCATTATTAACATAGACTAGAAGGTGTATTAATTTAAAAAAATTATAAAACAATAGTTTGATCCAACAAAATGTTTATGTTTTAATAAGAGAGATGTAATAACGTATATATAAAGATTTATAATGTGTTATAAAATCAGTTATACAAATATACAAAAATTGTAAAACGATTTATAAAGGCATTTAAATTCAGTTATAATATTCATAACACAATGAATTAGGAATTATAAAGAATTATAAATAGTAAATCGATTAAAACCATGGTCTATGTATAATAAAATTTGACCTATTTATTTGGGGAAAAATTAATTAAAAACTTTAAATTTGGGAAAATAAGTTTACAATTTTTAATTTATGAAAATTTGGTATAGATATAATTTTTTATGAGAGTTCTCAAGAAGAAATAATTCATAACAATGAGAAAAATGACTTATTTCAACTTGAATTTTACATGTCATGCATATTCCTTCCGTAATCTTGTAGTATTGTGTATTTCATATTGAACTTTTTTTTCGCTCAAAACATACTGAACTAAATAAAAATTCAAAAACATTACTTTGATTTTACATATCATATTTTTATTCCCAAACTTTATAGTAGTACATATTCGATATTGTTGTAAACAAAAATTCAAAAAATACTACAAGAACTTTTAAATACTACATGAACCTTATATATTGACCGTCAAAATTTACAATAAATTTCTATTTTCAAACAACTTATGAAAATCAACGTTATAAAATTAATAAAGTTGTTGAAATAAGTCATTTTTCCTTGTGTTGACAAAAAAATGTCATTTTCCCTCGTAACAACAATGGGCAATTAAAAAAAAAAAAACAATGGGCAATTAAAAAAAAAAAAACAATGGGCCATTTTCCCTCGTAACAAGAGTTAACATGTTCCCTTTTCGTTTTTCTTTTTACCAATTATTTTATTTATTTCTTCGTGTTATTCTTTTGTCATTTCCTTTTTAGATATTTTGTTTGGAAGTTTGTGTTACAGAGGGGCGACTCAGACCAGCTGCAACGGCAGTCCTTGGGCCGAATCCTTCGCTTTTTACCATTTAAAATAAATGGATTTGGGCTGATAAATACAAGGACTTGTACGGTGAAGTCCGTCTGCAAGGACCCGAAACGGGAAGTCCTTCGGGCACGTGTCGTCGTCTGGTTGGGCCGTTCAGCAATAGGGTTCTCGAGTGTTGGAAAAAAAATTCATTCGGTTTCGAAGGGTTGAAAAAAAAATCGGAGCTCGAGAGACGAAGGCGATAGAAGCGACCGTCGATCTTCTCTTCTGTGCTCTTCTTCCGACAGATCTTAGGTTCGTTTTTCTTCTTTTGTCGATGTAAGAGATAGGTTCGTTGTTCTTGTGGAGAGATTTCTCGTCTCCCTCTATGTATCGTATCTCAAACGAATCGATTTGTTTTGTAGTTAGCTCGATTCCGATTACTGGGTTTGAATTCGTTTTGGGTTTGATATTTAAAAAGGATTTCAATTCGATTAGGGTTTCAATTCGATTAGGGTTTCAATTCGATTAGGGATTCAATTCGATTAGGGTTTCACATCGATTTTGTTTTCGGTTTAAATACGATTAGGGTTTCAGTTTGTGATGAAAGCTTTAAGGTTTCAATTCGATTTTGTGATCTATTTTGTTTTCGGTCTCAGTTTGTGATGAAAGCTTAGTTGTGTTCTTACTAAGTAAATGTGTTCTTAGTGAATGTGTTCTTTAGGGTTTAGTTTCATTCTCGGATCTCAGGTTGAACACATTAGGGTTTCAGTATGATGAGCTTATCATATATCTAAGTAAATGTGTTCTTACTAAATAGCCTAGTTGTGTTCTTTTAAGCTAGACTATTATCTTTTGCTTTGTGTTCTTAGTTTTGTTATGTTTTTTTTTTGCAGGCAATGGGACAAGACTACAGTTACACGCAGCCTTCTTCATCAGAGGAGTTCGACATGAACTCCTTACTTGAAGCAGAGGCTGCTCTGTATGCGGATGAAGGAGATAGTAGCTTCACATGTGCAGCGGCGGTTCAGTACAGAATGGAACCTGAGGCTGATGAAGGCATACCGCGGATATGCTACTGCGGCAGTGATCCAGTTGTTGAGACGTCGTACACTGCAAAAGATCCAGGAAGGAGGTACTTCTACTGCTCCAACGTAGACGATGGAGACACTCACATCTGGAAATGGTGGGATTTGGCGATTCAAGAGGAGCTTCTTGAAACGCAGACACAACTTCGGATGGTCAAGGATCAATGCTTTGAGAGTGATCAAAAGGTGGCTAAGCTCGAGAAAATCGTGGGTGTGTTAAATAAGAAGAAAGCAGGTGGTATGGATGGGTTGGGGAAGGTAGTGTGTCTACTGTTCTTGCTAATACTGGTCATCGTATGCTGGTAAGTTTTATACATTCTTCAGTTAAATAAATTTGGCTATCCAACTAACTGTTTTTTCTTTTATGTCTTTCAAGGAATAGTTTCGGAGGATTTGAACATTAGTGTCTCAACTTGGAATGGGCCTCTAAGGTAATTTGTTTCTTTCTTACTATAACTTATAGAGCATAGTTCTTGTATAACTTTGAGTAAAATAACTTTGAGTAAAATAACTTTGACTACTAAAAATACTTATGATATATTAATATTACAGAGGAACTAAAAATTTCAAATATTTTCTTTAAGTTCTTTCGTCTCTTTTAAAATTAATATGATCTAATATTAATATGATGAGAGTTGTTTAATATGATCTAATATTAATAGGAACTTCTCCGAGATTATATAATATTAACTTCACCTTGTTTTGTTTGGTTTGGTTTCAAAATGAGAGTTGAACATAGCTGGTGTAGAACTTTAATGCGTGATTTGATCCCTCCGTACTTGTTAGGTTAAACATAGCTGGTGTAGAACTTATTACTGTGATTAGAGCGGTGGTAAATGCTTTTCTATCTGCCTAACTACTCCAAAACTAAATGCTAACTTACTTTCTATCGGCTACTTAAGGGTTTGTGTTGGTAATAGAGTAACACAAACCATATTAATGTCCTCGAGCGGTCTCCTGTCTTTGATGACATTACGCAAGGTCGAGCTCCCGCGGTACAGTACGTGGTCAACGGACACATGTATAATCTGGCGTACTACCTCACAGACGGTATCTGTCCAAAGTGGTCAACATTTATCCAATCTATCTCACTTCCTCAAGGTCCAAAAGCCGAGTTATTTGCTAAAGTTCAAGAATCAACCCGAAAAGATGTGGAGCGGGCATTTGGAGTATTGCAAGCTCGATTTGCGATTGTCAAAAACCCGGCGCTTTCATGGGACAAGGAAAAGTTAGGGAAGATTATGAGAACGTGTATCATAATACATAATATGATCGTTGAAAATGAAAGAGATGGATACACTCAGTACGATACATCGGAATTTGAAGAAGAAGGTGCCACCAGAAGTGCAAGGGTCGATATGTCTTATAGTGCCTACATGCCTCCAAATATCGAGGAAATGAATGGCATTCGGATTCAACTTCGCGATAAACGTATACATCAACAGCTCAAAAATGATTTGATTGAGAATATTTGGAACAAATTTGGTGATGATCAGTAAAAGTTATTGTATCTTTTTTTAAAAACTTTCTAATAAAAAATTTTAATAAAATTTTATTTTTCTAATTTTATGTTTTTAATATTTTTTTATTCCTAAGGATTCCATTCCGGATAACACCAATGCACCTACTATTTTGAATCAAGATCCTTAACTATTCAAAAAAAAAAAATTGTTTTTTATTGCTAAGGACTCCATCCACAAATACACCATTGTGGATGGTCTCAGAATCCAAAATACAAGAAAAGAAAAAACACGGAGCTATGGCGGACCAGCTGACAGACGAGCAGATATCCGAATTCAAGGAAGCCTTTAGCCTCTTCGACAAAGATGGCGATGGTTTTATTAATCTCTTCTCCCACATTTCTTCAGTTTCTCGGATCCGTACTGTTTTACGTTTTTGCTGAGATTCATTCTTTAAAGAACGAGGATTATGTGTCTACTGATTTGCTTTGTTTGATCCTTTGATATTTTCTACGCTTCTCAATCTTCAGTTGAATCGTTTATTGTCTTAGCTTGGATCTGGATTTTGGTCTTCGAATCTTTCTTCCATCTGTAATCATTTTTAATGAAGAATCAGTGATATTTCTTGGGGATTTGAGTTTTCTTTATTATGGTCACTTATTCATCGAAGATTTATACTTAGCTTAATTTTCCATTGTTTGTAGATTTATAACTCTTAAAGAGGTAATATAAACAAGTTCTTGTGTTGTTAATTATCGTGTATTTAATATTCCATTTATCTGTCATGGTTTGTGAAATGTAATTGCTCTCTTAATTGCTCGTTTACACAGGTTGCATCACTACCAAAGAGCTGGGAACAGTGATGCGTTCTCTGGGACAAAACCCAACAGAGGCTGAGCTTCAGGACATGATTAACGAGGTTGATGCAGATGGAAACGGAACCATCGACTTTCCCGAGTTCTTAAATCTTATGGCTAAGAAGATGAAGGACACTGATTCAGACGAAGAGCTAAAAGAAGCATTCAGGGTGTTCGACAAAGACCAGAACGGTTTCATCTCCGCTGCTGAGCTACGCCATGTGATGACCAATCTCGGTGAGAAGCTAACGGATGAGGAAGTTGAAGAGATGGTCCGTGAGGCTGATGTTGATGGAGATGGTCAGATTAACTACGAAGAGTTTGTCAAGGTTATGATGGCTAAGTGATGGAAGAAAGTTGGTGGGTATTGGGTATAATAAATAGACAGTATTTTCTCTTTGGTTTATGCTTTTCTTGTTGTGCGACTTTTATGGTATGGAAAGCAATTAAATTGGACTGAGAAGCTAACTTGCATGTTCAGTAAAAGACTAAAAGGATGGTAGCGTACGCAAATGTTTTTCTACCGTTCTATGATTCCCGTCCGATTAAAACCACTTATGAATGCACTTTATGCACGTCCAATCAAACTCTTAGTTTTTGTTTTTTTCCAACGAATTCTTAGTGAGAAATATGTGGTCATGGAATTTATTTATTTTATTTAGGGTACAAAAGTGCTTTTGACAAATGGCAACAACAAAAAACGATTCGTACGAAGTGGGGTTTTATATATTTGTCAAAGTGCTTTTGAAAATGTTTCATTTTAGGGCTGAGAATTCAGCTAAAACGGATATGAAAAATTGTATACACATATGATCCAATAGATTTGCGGTTCAGATCTGGGTCGAGTCCAACCGGTTGTAATTTTGGTTTGAGTAAACCAAAAATTTAAAATATATAAATTTATAAAAAAAATAAATCTTTAATTTATTGAATAAAAATATATATAGAAAATGTGAAAGAAATTATAAATAATTTTAAGTTCGCCTTTTCAACCCGAATTGAGTCTCAGGATGTGAAAATCTGTGTGTTTCAAACATAATTTCAATTAAACATAGGGCAATTCTCTTCAAATAGCCATCTTTTAAGTTTTTATCACAAAAATAGACCTCAAAAATTAAAATGATTAAAATAGCACATTTTATTTTGAAAATTTTATGTTTTTTTTTGTTTTTTTTTTTAAATTCGAAACCCTATCCCCAAAACCCCACTTCTTAACTCTAAACAAAAAAAAAAAAATCTAGGATTAGTTAACCCAAGGAATATAAATGTATATTTAATAAAACATTTAAGTGCTATTTTTGTTATTTTAATTGTTAAGGTCTATATTTGTGATAAAAAAAATTCTAGGTATATTCTAGTCATTTTCTCTTAAAAACATATACATGAACGGTTTTATATATAAAAACTGAAATTAAGACCAATACCTATGAATATTTATATTACAATATACCCCTCAGATAAAAAACTATATCCCAAACTAATCTGATACCTTTCGGCTAGAATCCAGTTCATATTCGATTCTGCTTTTGAATCTTATGCCTACTTCTTCCTCTTTATCTATTTGAGATATAAAGTTTGAATATAATTAGATTTTGATCCGGCAATCGTACGGTGTTTATTTTCATTTTGATATACATAAATATTTGTTTTAGAACATAAATGGTAATATATTTTTAACGTTAATCATATATTTAAATGATTATATAACTATTTCAAATATAATAATTTTATAATTTACATGTTATATTAATCAAATGTTAAAAACCATATGTATTTGTCACTTCTCATTATATATTTATCTTATAGTATTTGCACTTAGTTATTAAGCAAATTAATGTATTCATAAGAAAACATATTTGAAATTTATTTTTATTTAATTTATGGTAATTCTGACCCGATCTTCAAAGCTGTATTTTCTTTTACCAATATTTTTATGTTTATAACGATAACATAAAATACATTAACTTATTGTAAAATATTTTTACACGGATTTATTAGAATTTTTTAAATTTAATATATGAATATATATATATATATATATTTATGTTTAAAATGAAAAGATATCATGATTAAAGTAGTTATAAATATTTGATATTATTAACTTTAATGAAATACATTTTAATTTATATACATGTATTATATAGCTTGCTAATGTTAATCCGTCCTACCAACATATTAGATTTTATTTTTGAATATAAATATTTATACTTACAAAAAATAAAATTTATAAATTTATAAATTTAATATAATTTTAATATATTTAACTTAATATAATAATTTCTTTTAATTTGATTGATTATGATTATATAATAGATAATATGATATAATTTTTTATTTAAATTTTATAAGCTTAACTGAATATATTAATGGATAATAATATTTCAAACTAATTTTGAAATTAGTGAAAATATTTAAAGATAATATTAAAAATGAAGACCTTATTAAAATTCTTTTAAAACAGATTTGTTAGAATTTAAATAAATATATTTAGATTTAAAATGAAAGGATATCAAAAGATATTATCATTAAAGTATTTTAAAGATTCTATATATTATTAGTCTTAATGAAATATATATAGTAAAATTTTATATTGATAATCCAGTTTTTAGAAAATCACACATGAATCAAGGTTATAACTTATGTTTTAATATCCCTTATATATTAAAACAGAAGCATTGTAATAAATGCGTTCATACCATAACTGATACGTGTCGGCTTCACAATCATTTAACAATTAATGCGTTCACACACTAATTTTTTAATTTATTATTTAATATGTTTATACACTATTTTTTAATTAATTCATTTTAGTCTTTGTATTAATAAATTAAAACTTTCTACGTAAAACTAATGAATAATATCTTTATTGTAAAAAAGTTACAAAATTATTAAGATTCGCATCAACTAAAATGTTGTGTTGAAAATGTTTGTAGAGATTGAAAGTTCCATACCTTGCCAAAGTTGGTCATGGTTGAGGGTTCGATACACAATAACAAAAAATAAGGTGATTGATTATAAATTAAAGAAACTGAGTTGAAAAACACCACACACTATGTTGAATCTTTAGTTTAGTCATATATTAATATTTATATAAAGTTTTCATATCAGACCAAGAATCATAAACAAAATCAAATTGGTAGAAAAAATCAGAAATCAGAAAAGCTTTAAAAAAAATAAAAATCACAAATTCGATGAAAAAACAGAATGCAGGTACCAAGTGAAGATGTCACCAGATAATATATATTATTTTTATTGTTTACGGGTACAATTTGATTGAATTCATATGAAAAAATGTTATTAATTTCTAGGTTTGTTTTATTTTTACTTGATTTTATTTAAGAATTTACTATCATGTGTTATTTTGAACAAAAATGTTTTAAATCTTAATTAACGGTATATTCATATATTTATCATCACAATTATATACTTTTATATATACATACATGTACACATTGACATGAGTAATTATATAACTAAATATTCACCACAAGTGAGAATTTTAATTCTTATTGAAGTTGAATTTTTTTAATGTTTTCTTTCACTATCTCTCAAATTGTAGTGAAATGTTTTGTGTTAATAATTTTATTTTCTTTTTTCTTCAAATATTATTTTGATTTTACTTGATTTTATATGTCTATAAAAATTATAATAGGAAACTATTAGTTCGACATCGAAAATTTCTAAAATTTATATAAAACGAAACCAAACAAATAACAATAGTTTTTGGTTATCATCAAAAAAATCAAAAACATCAAACATTTAAACCAAACAAACCAAAATAAATATAGATTTAGAATGATAGTTATATTTTAGGAGATTAAAAAACAACTTAAAACTGAATCAATATCCATGCTTAACATACATAATATCATTTTTATCTTAAAAGTAATAAAAGTAATAATCTCATTACGCGGAAGACACGGATTATTACCTAGTATAATATGTTTGACAAACAACAAAACAACACCGGAAAAGGGTTGCATTTATGGTTTGTGCCCAAATTGGCCACTCTATATTGGCTTTGTGGAGATATAGAAAATGAAAGTTTAACTCTACCTCATGAAGATGTTGTTATGCACTTCGCGAAAAATTAGCTACAGAGAGTCCGTTATCACAATTTCAGCAATCATGGCCCTTTAGATGTACCACAGTCTTGACGGATGCTCCGGTTCTGCATCTACGCTTCTCCGGCTTTAACCCATGCATGCCATTGTGTCTTCGGCATATCACATCACCCTGCCAAATTCACCAGACATGTTTTTTCTTTTGCTGCACACTACTTCCAATAATCCTTATTTAACTATTACGGTGAATCTCTTTATTGTTTCGGATATGATATATCCAAGGCATCTTCATGATGTTTTCTACGTAAGCATCCAAGACCATGAATGCTCCCACAGATCAGACTTTATTGTTAGTTCCCCCCTCCCCCCCCCCGGCGCAAATCAACTTTCTTCTCTGACGCACTTCACCTTTGGTACATGACTGTCACAATGAGTCTCACTGTTTGTTTAGAAATGACATATTTTTCTTCCTGGTGAGTATTATAGAACCAGAGTTCATGGTCCAACTCTCTTTTCACCAAAGAAACTTAATAGAAGAACAACCAGCACTTTTCTCTTCAGCGATCCAAGCATCGTTAGAGACTATTATTAACTACTCTCAAACCCCATCGGTTGGATATTTTAATTTCGTTTTTTAACTGAATTCATTGTGTTCTTTCGAACATGAAATTTAAAATTCCTAGTGAAGCTTTTTATGGAGCTCTTTTCTCCTTTACTACTTCTATCTTTCGTTATGTTTTAATTATTTGTTTATCATTTTGACGTCAAGTGTTGTTTTTTTTTTGTCAAGCGTCAAGTGTTTTTCTGGTTGTAGGCATATAAATTCATCTTTAATCTTACAATGCCAAAAATTCTTGAGCTAGAGCATTGAGGTTATCCGCGTCAACAAATTAAATCAACTAATGATAGATTTTCAATTTGTCACGTCATTATCTCTTTAGTCATTATAAAATTTGTTTTGACCAACATTGGATATATAACAATTTTCACTGGCCCATTTATTATTCTAACCCAATATCTCTAGTAAGCGAAGCAAACTCCTCCACTTCACCATAGTCATTCCCGATTTCTCCAATTCAATGTTACGGTGTTGTTATGAGGACCTACTACTACTCATTCAATTCAATTCGTCATTCCTATCTTCAAGATTTATGGTATCCTTCTACCTCTCTCTCTTTTGTTGGTTAATGAGGTTGTAACCCAAAAATTTGTGAATTATATACTTGGATAATGGTTGAATCGCGCATGAGGTCACTTTCCTTAAAGAGTATTTCGACCCTATTTCAAGTCCTTGGGTTACACGAAATCCCTTTGTAGGATAAGACAATCAAAGTCTCACTCTTGTTCTAGGCTAAGATACAAGAGAAACAAAAAGAGGTTTAAGTGTTTATATGTGTTCTTCAAAGATCTTTGATAATCTTTGAACAATTAATCTATTTCTCTCTTACTCTCTTA